TGTCCCAAATCCCAAAAACTAAACTGGGAATGACCCAAATCCCAAAAATTATATTGGGATGGTCCCAAATCCCAAAAATCACACCTGGGGACACCAGGGGGACCTGCCCAACCCCAAAAATTAAACTGGGATGGTCCCAAATCCCAAAAACTAAACTTGGAATGACCCAAACCCCAAAAAATCACACTGGGATTGTCCCAACCCCAAAAATTATATTGGGATTGCTCCATAACCCTAAAACCACATTGGGAATGTTCCCACCCCAAAAATCATATTGAGATTGTTCCATAATCCCAAAAACTAAACTGGGAATGACCCAAATCCCAAAAATTATATTGGGATTGTTCCATAACCCCAAAAATCACACCGGATCTGCCCCCAACCCCCAAAATTAAACTGGGATGGTCCCAAATCCCAAAAATCACACTGGGACCTGCCCCAACCCCAAAAATTAAACTGGGATGGTCCCAAAAATCAAACTGGGAATGTCCCAACCCCAAAAATCAGGTTGGGATTGTCCCCAACCCCAAAAATCAAACTGGGGACGGAGGGGGACCTGGCCCACCCCAAAAAATCATATTGGGAGGGTCCCAAATCCCAAAAATCAAACTGGGAATGACCCCAACCCCAAAAATCATATTGGGATTGTCTCCAACCCCAAGAATTAGATTGGGACCAATCCCCACTCCAAAAATTAAACTGGGATTGTTCCATAACCCTAAAATCACACCAGGAATGTCCCCAATCCCAAAAATCAAACTGGGACCTGTCCCCACCCCAAAAATTAGATTGGGATGGTCCCAAATCCCAAAAAATCAGATTGGGATTGTTCCATAACCCTAAACTAGTGCCTGGGGACACCAAGGGGACCTGCCCCAACCCAAAAAATTAAACTGGGATGGTCCCAAATCCCAAAAAATCACATTGGGATGGTCCCAAAAATCAAACTGGGAATGACCCAAATCCCAAAAATCACACCGGGAATGACCCCAACCCCATAAATCACACCTGGGGACAGGGGGGGGAACTGGCCCCAACCTCAAAAATCAGATTGGGATTGTTCCATAACCCCAAAAATCACACCGGACCTGTCCCCACCCCAAAAATTAAACTGGGATGGTCCTAAATCCCAAAAATCACATTGGGAATGTTCCAAACCCACAAATCACACTGGGAATGACCCCAACCCCAAAAATCACACCCGGCCTGTCCCAACCCCAAAAATTATATTGGGATTGTTCCATAACCCTAAAATCATATTGGGATTGTTCCCGCCCCAAAAATCACATTGGGAATGTCCCCACCCCAAAAATCAAACGGGGAATATCCCCACCCCACAAATCGCACCCGGGATTCACCTGGGGACACACCCCGACACCGCACTGGGTTTTAGGGGAATTGGGGTTGGGGTCGGTGTTTGAGGGTTTTGGGGTCGGTATTTYRTGGGGRCTGTTGTGGGTTTTGTGGGTTTGGGATCGTGGTCAGTGTTTGTGGGGTTGGGGTCAGTATTTGAAGGTTTTGGGGTTGCGGTCGGTGTTTTTGGGGTTGGGGTTGG